TAAAGTAGAAATTAAGAAAAAAAGAAAACAAATTGAGGGAGAAGATTGGGACTAAGTTGCCATTCTGTGATGAGTATGTCTTTGGGGTAATTGAAAGAGAGATAAAAAGGATTTCTATGTTGGATTATGTGTTATGAATGGAAGCCCTCCCTTCCAGAGGATTCAGTAAAAATTAAAGAACCCCTCTCTCAATTAGAGATGATTTTTCTCAGTAAAATGCTGAAATGGGCCAAAGAGTAACCAGTTTCATAAGTTGTCTTGACTTTTAACAAGATAGTTTAATTATCTCAAAAAAAAAAAAATAGTTCACCAGACATCATTTTGTTATACCAAGCTAACAAGAAAACAACAAATAATGATTGATCAGTTTGGTTAATCACTGAATGAAAATTCTCAAAATAACAGACTGGACTCAGGACTTATATTTCAGCGAGGGTTGCTTTTACTTAGAAGTAACAGAAAACAGGTCTAATAGAAGTTTAACAATGAAGGGACACTTTTCTTATATCACAAGACATCTGAACATAAGGCTGTGTTGGCATTTGTTCAGCAGTTCAGTAATGGCAGACCTAACACCTCTGTTAACTTCTTTACCTCTCATAACTGAAATGTGTCTGCCACTTTACAGTAGCGAATCCTTGAAATGAGAAAGAAACTGGTTTGATCCTTCTAGCTCATGAAGGAGGACAGCATGGGAAGTAGAGTGCCCTCAAGAAGGAGGCTTAGGGAAGACTGCAGAAAGTCTTTTGTATAGTTCAATATTATCTACTTCATTTGATTTCTAGGGATGTCCCACAGAAAGCAATATTTTTGGTTTTTATGACTTTCCTGTGACTATCCTCGCTATTCAGATATTTCCAATTAGCCTGGTGAATAGCAGGTTGAAACCAGTCAGGAAGTAAGGATGTATCTGGGCCCTGAGGCATAAATTATTCCTGCTATCCAACTTCTTCTAAACGTCTTTTCACAAAGCAGGGTTAATATAAGCAATTTGGCATATATTTTTATCAGAAAAATATGAAAATGAGCTGTCTTTTGGGTAGCAATAGAGGGGAATGTATACCATGAAGGGCTTTATTAGTGATATGAAGTAACTGGCATATTTTATAATCTTAAAATCTCTAGTAACATAAAGGAAATGATGTTCTATAGGGAAAAGATTGAGTTTAGTGTGGGTCCTGACTCAAAACTTTTGTATTTCCATCTGGATGATGCAGATTTGAAAACTCAAGAGATTTCCACCAGAACAAAGTCAACATAGCCTATGCCACCTACTTATATGTGCCTTCAAGCATGTTAAAATAATGCAATGGAGTATAGCTTGCAGCAGCTGCGATTTTGTGCAGCACCACCTTTCTGTATGTTTTGTTTGGGTGGCTAGAGTGGCTCTGGTCAGTCCCTGTTCAATGAATATGAACATCTTTGATCTGAGACATTACAACCCTGGGAAGTAATGAGGAAGTATTCATTAGGAATATTTTGTTGTTGTTGTTGTCCCTTACTGTGGGATCTATCACCACATCTCTCATTTAGCGTTGGTATGAGATTAGACCTTGATCACTTCTAGATACCCTCTCATATGTGCTTTTCATCTGAGTTAACTTGTCTCTTGAAGTTGAAGAACTGGGAGTGCCCTGGCTGGATAGATTTTGCATCAACAAAAAGCTGAGTTTTTTCAGGTGGCTCAAAGAAAGAAAAGAATACAACTGTGGAAAAAAGTATTCTGTTACACAATATGCAAACATTTGTACTGACTTGTAGAACAAGTTTGATAAAACACACCCCCGACTAAGATAGATAACATATAAATAGCCTATTCTTCCTACTGATTATAGCACCATATAGAATGTGTTTCAATTTCTTTATTGTTACAGATTGTAAAAAGGAAAAAAAAAAAACAGATTTTGATGCTATATAGATAGAATTGAAAGGTGACAACAATTGATAAAATCTAAAAGTGATAAGAATAAATATAGTGTAGCAGTTGGCATGCAGTTAGAGGCTCAAAGAGTAAATGTTGAGTATCTGAGCTGCTTAGAATTTTACAAATTTATGAATATTTAACTCAAATTGGATAATAACAACAGGTGCATGCATGTGTGCTAAGTTGCTTCAGTTGTGTCTGACTCTTTGCAACCCTACGGACTGTAGCCCACCAGGCTCCTCTGTCCATGGGATTCTCCAGGCAAGAATACTGGAGTGGGTTGCCATGCCCTCCTCCAGGGGAACTTCCCCACCCAGAGATCGAACCCGCATCTCTTCTGTCTCCTGCAATGGCACGTGGGTTCTTTACCACTATTGCCACCTGAAAAGTGAAAGTGAAGTCACTCAGTCGTGTCTGACTTTTCACAACCCCATGGACTGTAGTCTACCAGGCTCCTCTGTGCATGGATTTTTCCAGGCAAGAGTACTGGGGTGGGTTGCCATTTCCTTCTCCAGGGGATCTTCCCGACCCAGGGATTGAAGCCAGGTCTCCCACATTGCAGGCAGACGTTTTACCATCTGAGCCACCTAGGAAGCCCCAAAAGAGGTATATATATATATATATATAGTACAGGGCCAAGTTCTAGGTGCTCTTCTCATATGAACTCATTAATACTTGTTAAACTTAGAAAGTAGGTGCTGTTTTTATTCCCACTTGTTAGGTGAAGAAACAGAGGCTTTAAGCAACCTGCCCAAGGTCACACAGCTAGTAGGTATTAGAACTGAGGATCTGAACTCAAATCAGCTTCCCAGGTGACACTAGTGGTAAAGAACCTGCTTGCCAATGCAGGAGACACAGGAGATGAGGTTTGATCCCCAGGTCAGGTTGATCGCCTGGAGGAGGACCTGGCAATTCACTCGAGTATTCTTGCTTGGAGAATCCCATGGACAAAGGAGCTTGGCAGGCTAGAGTCCATAGGGTCACAAAGAGTTGGACACCACTGAAGCAAATTAGCACGCATACACTGCTGTCTCTGAGCTCTGTACTCTTAGACAGTGCACTCTACTGCCTCTGTAGGATTTAGGGATTATCTAATCTAAATCAAACCTCCCAGGAGATCTCAAGGATTATTGACACAATTTGTTAGATTACGTCTTCGCTCTTTCAATCCAGACTCACATTTCTGTCCACTACGTCAAAGGAGAGACCAACAATCCAATCAAAGGAAATGGGTGGTGGTGGTGGTATTTAAAGGTTAGATGTTTTGTAGTTTTAAATAAATAATACAATTAATATTTAACTATTCCTTAAAAAGTCATTCAATCTGCTTGGCATAGAGTCAGGTTAAGCAAGAGTTGTTGAACAGAATCAAAATAGTATTAATTTGGAGATTACATGTTAAAATTAGCACAAGATCCCACCTATAATAAATAAAATCAAAGTTTAGGAATTACCAATATAGATAATCATATCCTTAAATAAACAATTATATCAATACACACACACAAATTAATGAATAATGACTCCATTTAAACAGAGCTTATGCTTCTGTTACATGTTTCTTTTTTTCATAATTTATTTTTTGGGTGTGCTGGATCTTCCTTGCTGCGCGGACTTTCCCAGTTGTGTATGAGTAGGAAAGTGAAAAGGTGAAAGTGAAAGCTGCTCAGTCGTGTCCGACTCTTTGTCCATGGAATTCTTCAGGCCAGAATACTGGAGTGGGTAGACTGTCCATTCCCCAGAGGATCTTCCCAACCCAGGAATTAAACCATGGTCTCCTGCATTGCAGGTGGATTCTTTACCAACTGCGCCATCAGGGAAGCCCTGTACAAGCAGGGCTTGTGTCAACTCTTTATTTGGCCACCAGGGAAGCCCCTACATATTTCTTATTATAATGTATTTTGCATGCAATTTCCAAGAATTAAATGAAATTACTCAATAACTCACCTTCCTTTTTGATAACAAGGTGTCAACAAATAAAACCCAGCTTAGCTTTTGAATAACATATACTGCTGGTTATCTTAATAAAAAAAAGTTTAGATTTAAGATATCTTTCCTTATATCCCCAAATGCAATTATAAGGCACTATAATTGTATCAGACATTGTAGTAAGTACAGAATCAATATCATTAACAAAGCCACAGTGGGGCTATGTGGACAGATTCCATTTATCCTCTCATCAGCTTCTTAAAGATTCAACCTCTCAGTCTCTGTGGTTGTCCTGCCATTCTGGACAGGTGACAAGGCTACTGACTGCCTAAGTTTTCCAGAACATTCTGCTGTTGGCCAGGCCCAGCTAGAACAGAGCAGAATGGCAAACTCTTCATAACATAAAAATAACAGATTCTTTGAATGACATTAGCACCCTGGGCTTCCCTTGTAGCTCAGTTGGTAAAGAATCTGCCTGCAGTGCAGGAGACCCAGTTTCGATCCCTGGGTTGGGAAGATGCCCTGGAGAAGGAAATGGCAGCCCACTCCACTACACTTGCCTGGAAAATCTCATGGACACAGGAGCCTGGTGGGCTGCAGTCCATGGGGTCACAAAGAGTCAGGCACAACTGAGCGACTAACACTTCAGAACAGCACCTTTAGCACATGATAAAATTGAGCAAGATGTTTTTCTCAAGTGCAGACCATGAGAATGAGGAAGAGGAAACTTATCTCTGAAGAGAGAATAATCTCACATACTAGACATGTACCAGCGGCTGGGTAGATAGCTGATCAAGGGAGTAATTTAGGAGAGAAAGTTACATGGGAATTAGAGTCAAAAACTAGGGTTCAAATGTCAAATTAACCACTTTTTAGTGCTTTGAGCCTGAAGAAGTCTCCCATCTTCTAAGCAGCGATTCCTTCACCAGTAAAATTTGATTAATAAAACCAATTATGAAGATAATTTTTGAGACTTAAATAAGAATATGTCTGATAAGTGTTTAATATAGGGCTTATATGTAGTAGATGATAAAAATTTTGAGATAAATCCTGAAAGCATCATGTTAAATTTTTAAAAGTGGTTTACATGTCATATGGACTTTTATTGTCCTTTTTAATTTTTCCATTTTTTTCTGAATATCTGCAGATGACAAAGGACATGCACCAAATGCAAGGTAAAGACAAATAATCAAGCAATTTTTTTATTTTTATGAGTTTTTATGAGAAAAGATGAAAAGGAAAAGGATACACACCCTGTCTTACTGCTTGAATTGCGTGCGATCTCTGTATCCAACTCTGTGCAACCCTAGGGACTGTAGCAGCCCAGGCTCTTCTGTCCATAGGATTCTCCAGGCAACAATATTGGAGAGGGTTGCCATTTCTTCCTCCAAGGGATCTTCCTGACCCAGGGATCGAATCTGCATCTCTTATGTCTCCTGCACTGGTGGGTGGATTCTTTACCACTAGCACCACCTGGAAAGCCCTATGCTATGGTACGTAAGTACTAAATCTACCATTGACCTAATTTATTATATTGTTAAAAATTATACACCATCACGTACTTGGCAATCAAAATCTATAGTTTTTATTTTGAGAAAAGATAACCACTGATGTACAGGTCCTCACAGAAAATCAATTTGCATTTGTACCGTCCTGCTTCAGCGGTAGGTGATAGCGCCCCCTACTGACCAATAGTGTAGAGGAAAACATGCACATCTGGTCACACCTCTAAAAGCTACTAAGAACTTATCTTGTGGGCCTATAGGTGGGAAGACATCTAGACAGATAAACACATAAATGCAAGTACACACACAAAACCACTATCTGCATGTAGGCACATGCTAGAAAGTTCTCACTTTCACTCCTGCCCCACATGCATAGGCTTGACAAATGCTGAGTATATGGAGAACCAGTTGATGCAACTGAACAATATCCTCTTTTTATATACAGCAGGAGTACAACTTAGGCGGACTAATGCAGGTCTTTAATAATAGCTACATTAATCTCCATGCCAGGCACCAAGACAGTATTTATTTATTTATAAGTTATTTATGTTTAATGCTTAAAGTTTTGAATGCACAATCTAACATTATAGAAGTACTAGAGGTCAATACAATGCATTAGAACTATGTACAATGCACAGGTTCATATGAAAACCTATCTACTCTGTAGAGTTTTACAAAACTATCAAACACAAAGCACTTAAGACACCATTTTTTTCCCTTCTGCTACATTAGGAACGTAAATAGGCAGATCATTTCAACTTGCAGCATTCACCCATTTCTAGTATGAAATTAAGTAATTTTCTACTTATGTAATAAAGTTTATCTACGCCATTTTCTTGATTTTGATTCATTGCAGCAAAGGCACTATACATCAGCAGATCCAGATAGTATTTTAATTTCATCGTTATGAGGCACTCAGGAATCAGTAATGCCTGCATTGAGTTTAACGATTGTTTCATAGTGTATTATTAGTTCTGTGTCAGACTCCTTAATTCATTGAACTATTCAGTTGATGTTCATTAGATGTCTACTCTGGGCCAGGCAATAATGCTAAGTGCCAACTATGCAGCAATGAGTCAACCAAGCAAAATCTCTTCCTTCATGGAGATTACATTCTAGTGGGGAGATATGAATGTTCCCATGAAGTCACACCCAGACTCTGAATATTTCAGATAAGTAAAAGTGAGCATTCATCATTTCTTTAATGAAGTTTGGAAATGTGAGTTTTTATTCTCTTATGATTGCCTAGACACTATAGCAGACCTGTTTTTAGTAAGCATGTGGCTCTATTTTAGTTTCTTGTTGATATTTTTTAATGGGTCAAAAAATGCTAATAGATACCTTATGAATCTCAGATGTTGTGAAATAAAAATGTGAAATTAGTGGTGCTCACGATATGTAACTTAGTGGGAGATGTGTGTGTGTGTAGGAGAACTTATTGCTATTTCTTTAAGACCTTGATCTTTTTCCAGTCTCCCAAAATATCTATCAGTAAATTTACCATTCTCCTCATTTGCAGGGAGTTACAGAGAAACACTAAATAAAGCATGCTTTGAAAAATCCTTATAAGCTTTAAAAGAGCAAGAAAGATCATCAAAACAAAAATACCTGTATACAGACCTAAGTGGGGTTCATGTTTAAGGTTACCTTCTGTTAAAACTCTGTTTTTAAGTTACTCAGAGTAAATTTTTGAAGCCAAAAGATAGCCTTTTCAAGAGTGATATGTGAGCATGTTTCTAAGTCAAAATTTGACCACGGAAGGCAGCTGCTTTACCATTTACCTCCAGGCTGTATTGATTACGCTGGGCTGAAAAGTGACGCTACCCATGCCCAAGTGCGGGGGACACATGTGATCCAGAGTCTCAGCTACTCTTCATGTTACTAATATCAGCACAGTAAGAAATGAGTGGCTTTAACCATTACTATCTCTCCTTATAATAGGGGTTTGTTGAGGTTTTACCCTATAGAATGTGTCCAAGTAGTAAGGAGCAGAGATTGCATTTAGCTAATACACTTTTAAGGATTCTCTCTCATGTCTCTATAAAAATGACCATGAGAGGAAAATGAAACTACCAAAGAGAATATTTGAACCAGGTTATGACCAAGTAGTACAGAAGGACAAACACTGGTCAGGTCCAGTGAAGGTAGTTGGAATGTAAACTGTTCCCTGGGCTACTCAGGTGGCGCAACAGTAAAGAATTCGCCTGCCAGTTCAGGGGGTGCTAGAGATGTGCGTTAGATCCCTGGGTCAGGAAGATCCCCTGGAGAAAGAAATGGCAACATGAAGAAAGAAAGAATTTGCCTGGAGGATCCCACGGACAGAGGAGCCTGGCCTGCTACAGTCCATAGCGTCACGACACGTGACATAGAGTCAGACACGACTGAAGTGACTCGCATGCATACAAGAAAGATGGTATCTAGAAGGATAGCCCTGATGTATCTATTTGCAGGGCAACAATGGAGAGGCAGACAGAGAGAACAGACTTATGTACATGCGGGCAGGAGTCGGGAATAGGAGGGAGAGGGTGGGATGAATGGAGAGAGTAGCATGGAAATACATCCACCGGCATATGTAAAATAGATAGCCAGCAGGAGTTTGCTGTGTGAATCAGGGAACTCAAACCCAGGCCCTGTGACAACCTGGAGGGGTCGAATGGGGTCGGATGTGGGAAGGGAGGCTCAAGAGGGAGTGAACATCTGTATACCTATGACTGATCCATGTTGATGTATGCAGCTCGTTTTTAATGTTAAATACTCTTCCTGCTATTATCCACGCATTTCTTTTCTTCTTCCCTTTGCTGTTAGTATTCTTGGTTAGTAGAAGGGAAATGATTCAAAACTATTTGCAGCCACCTTCTTTGCTCGCTTTCTTGCTTATTTAGTGGCTTCAGTTGTGTCTGACTCTGCGACCCTATGGACCATGGCCTGCCAGGCTCCTCTGTCCATGGGATTCTCCAACCAAGAATACTGGAGTGGGCTGCCAGTTGCTTCTCCAGCTACCGTCTTTAAGTAAGGTAAAATTCAATAGATAAAAGCAAGTTCTTTCTCAGCCTTCAAGAGACTTAGTGCTAAAGAATAATGCTTAACATAATTGCCATGCAGTTACTCCACTTTTTTTTTTCTTATTTGCAGAAAACTACTGCAATCATGTATTTAATCATGTATTTACATTTGTAAAAGTCTGAAATGGTCTTGTAGACAATTTGTAGAATTCTGTATCTTTTCAAGTGTCCGTGTTGATAGTTGGTCTTCTGGAGGAGGAAACAGAGAGCTTTCATAGCCCCAACAACTCAGTTTGGAAGCTTCTTCACACTCTGAGACTTAGAACTCACGAAGAGAAACAGAGGGAAAATTAGAAGTTTGGACCTTGGGGTGTCACCTTAACTACTTCCTTGTATTCTTACCTGGGTCAGTACAAGAAGTTATTCTCCTCAATTGTAATCTTTAAAAAAAAATTATTGGAGTATGGTTGCTTTACAATGTTGTGTTAGTTACTATACAGCAAGGAGAGTCAACCACATGTATACATATATACCCTCTTCCTTGGATTTCTTTCCCATTTAGATCATCACAGAATATTGAATAGAGTTCTCTGCGCTATGCAGCAGATTCATATTAGTTATCTATTTTATATATAGTATCAATAGTGTAGTCTTAATTTAAAATGCTTCTCAGAAATTACAAAATTAATAGTGTGCTTGACAAAAATGCTATGTTATTTTTCTCTTGAGTTACTTTTCAAACTTCAGTTTCGGGGAGTGAAGACTATATTCATTTACTATATTCATTATATCATTATATATTCATATATCCACCTATATATATTAGTGAATATATTCACTATATTCATATTCATTATACCTTTAACAAATAACCACAAATTAAGTGACTTAAAAATACACACATTTATTATCTTATTCTGCAGGTCACAAGGCCAACACAGTTCTCACTGGGCCAAAATCAAGATGTGAGCAACCTCTAGGGGAAAATTCATTTCCTGCTTTTTCCAGCCTCTAAAGCTGCCTGTGTTCTTTGGTTGGTGATTTTTCCTCCCACTTCGAAACCAGCAACATGGTATCTGACAGTGCATTTGTTGTCACATCTCTGCCTCTGACTGTCCTCTTCTTCCACTTCTAAGAGCCTTTGTGATGACATTAGAGCCACCCACATAGTCTAGGAAAATCTCCTTAATTTAAGCAGCTGATTAGCAGCCTTAATTTTACTGCAACTTCAGTTCCCGCTTTGTCATGTAACCTAATTCACAGGTTTGGGCGCATTAGGACATCCAATGGGAGAATATTTTTCAGATGCCACTATTTTGCCCACTGCAGTGACAGTAGGTGAGATTTACTTAAGTAAATGTGATAATATAAAGTCAGTTGATAAATCCACTTAGCAAAACTTGAATTAAAGTTTTAACTTCACTTCCAGATTATGGGATGATTTAATAGCTCATTTTAAATAGCATGCAGACATGCTTTTAATAATATTCCCTAGAAATTTACTTTAAAATTTTTGAGACTATAATTGATTTTTAAGTTTCTTTTTCTGTCTCACAAATAAGCATATATAAAGATAACAATGTTTAATAACAGAAAATCTCCTGTTCTGCCCTTCTCCCTTTAGCTTCTTCCAATGTATATAGGCTCTGATGAAGAAAAACGATAGGTTTATGGAAGGAAAGAACATTTCCTTCAACAAACAAACAAAGAAAAAGAAAAATGGGAGAGAGAAAAGATAGGTTGGAAAGTATACTTTGTAAATCAAAGTTTGGGCCTGGTAGAATCTCAGTTAGAAGCTTTTATTTATCATTCATTACTCTGTCATGGTTCAAAGTTTTATTTGCAATTTTTGTGAATAATAATCCCTCATTTTTTTCAATCACAATTTACGAGGCAAAGTGCTAGATTCCAGGATTATAAAATGGAATAAGGGTGACAGCATAAGGACATATAATTTCAGTGCAGTAAGGGAAGTGTGGTAAGACAGATATTTGTGGGTTACTAGGGGAGCAATAAGAAATTGTATCTAACAATCCTGGAGAAGGATAGCAAAGACAGATTCAGGAATAACTTCTGAGCAGATAAATGCCTGAGCTGAGTATTAAAGCATAAGAATGTATGGCTGGAAGTGGACACATGTTCTATGCTCATGGAACACCATGAAGGGGAATGTGAAGAAACCCCTAGTGTACCTGGAGTTCCGAGCCTCTCCTTGTCCCCATGGTCAGCTTCTCTCCATTCTTCAAGATACACCTCACAACCCATCCCCTCTGGGATATCGTCTCTAACCAGCTTTACATAATCAAACCTCATTACCATAGCACCCTGTTTACTTCTTTAGTGGTATTTATAACAATCTTTAATTATGCTAATTCATATGTTCAACGTTTCGCTTCTTTTTTCCCCTCACTATAATCTAAACCCTACCAGATACTCTCTCATCAGTGCATTTTTCTAAAGTTTTTCATTAATGAAGTATCTGCAGTGATTTTAATGATACTTTCTGGTAAGGTTCAACCTTATTCTTCCCTGTATTTCAGCTGCCCATGAACTGCAAGAAATCAGAGTGGAACTGGAATAAACCCAGAAAAATGTGGAACTTACACATGGTCATCCCAATGCAGCGGTGTCCCCACAGAAGATGAGTTCCTGGGATTTGGACAAGAGAGAATAGACAAGCTTGGAAATGTCATCCTTTCTCATGACTTTAGAGTAACCAAAATAATTTTTAACAGCATTAATTTTTAGCCTTTAAGTAAATATCTTTCTGATATTTGATTTCGTAATGCAGAACAGTGTATTAAAAAAATTGAAACCATCACATTGCTTGACTCCATAAGCAATACATTTGAAAGCATTTATTTCATGGCTACCCAAATATATATATATGCTGTTTTCTTTTACAGATCTACTTTTTTTTCTCTCAAAGGACTTTTGAAAAATCACTTCACAATGTCACGTCGAGAGGTAGGTTCCGGCTGTTAGGTAAAGCACATTATCTGGATAAGTAACTAAATTCATACTGTACCACAGCTTGAGAATCTTCAAAACTATATCTTTGAAAGTGAAAATCTATTGTCTCTGATTTTTGTATAAAACAGTCAGATGTGTATCTTTTAATTTAGAGTTCTACCAAATCACTGGTTATATTAATAACTAAGACACACACACACACACACATATTCACACACATGTTTTCTTAGGCTGGAACATGTTGCCTAAGACTAGAGTTTTTATTTTCCATTCTTTCCAGCATCTGGTAGCTTGGAATCATACACACAGCAGGTATATAAAACACACTCAATAAAGACTCAACCATAATGTCCCACTAGGTTCACAATCCAGCATTTAAATTTATTTTTTAGGTAAAAATAAAATGCTTCCTAAACCTAACTTTACATGAGAGACATTTTCTTTTCACTCTTTTTATTTAAAAAAAAATTTGATAACATTTATATGTAAGAAGCATATATCTTAAACAGACCTTCTTTTGATTAAAAGGGAAACAATAACCCCCTTTATCTTAATACGATGACTTGTCTGCATTAGGTCTAAGAAAGAAAAAACAAACAAAACACAATTATGTTTATTTCCAGTGGGACTGGACAAAATCAGAATGATGGAGCATCCAAGCCAAAAACAGTAAACTTCTTAATCAAGATTATCCCTTAAGACTACAGAAAGACTGAGAGGACATTTCATTTGTATTCTCTTCTTCCCGCATCCCTGCACCATGATTGGTATTATAACTGATCTTCAATTACTAATGTTATTATTGATTTTCAGTGATGAAACTTAATCATTAGTTGTCTTACAAATTGCCATTAGTTCCCTTGCTATATTTAATTTTTAAAATTCTTTTCAGTATAATGAATATTTACTTTATTCTTCCTATCACAGCCTTTTCAGATTTACTTCTTTGAAATATTCTCATCTGTAAGTAGCATCCTAGTTATAACATTAACTGTTATGAATGTTTTCTATCTTGGAACTGTACATATTTATTTCTGTTACAAGATATAACATAAAAAGAACTTTAAAAGAGGTAGAAGTTTTATGAAAGCAATCTCATTATTATTTAATAGTGCTCCCATAAATGTATATAGTATCCCTAAAATATTTATCTGTTTTTTAAATTTTTATCACACCTGATAAATCAACATGGATTCCATAAGAAATATTTCAAGATGACCTGAAATTTAATGAATTAGTAAGCTGGGTTCAAAGCTCAAGAAACCCATGAAATGTTATCAGAAACACTTAACTTTTGAATTTGAAAGTCTTGGAAGAGAATTAATTTTATGACAAAAAAAATTAAAATAGAATGCAGTTATAAACATGAGTTTTCATTTGACTTATTTTTATCACCTCAAATCCATACTGTCATTCCACACTTCTTTAAAGCACTGATAGCATCAGAGCAAATTAAACAAGATGATGGCTGGCTGAAGTCATTTGAACAAATGATTTTTGTTAATAAAATATCAGCTATCATTATACATTGTGATTTAGAGGAAATATAAAAATATAACTCCTACTGGTTGTAACATTAATTGCTTAAAATCTTGTCACTGCAAAACTTTTATACACTGTAGAATTTTTAGTTTATACAACTAAATTTTATAGTGATACACCCCTAACATTTAGACCATTATTTAAAATAATTATGTGCTCTTTATAGAAGAATGACTTTGTCTCTAGAAGACAAATGGATAACTCAACCATAAATATGGTGTATATTTTTCTTTCGTGAATCTTGTAGATAGCCAAGGTTCAGGGAATGAATACAGTGGAAAAGTGTCTTAGAAATATGATTGAAACTACAAAATTTTTCAAGATATTTTTAAGACTTAAAACACTACACCTGATTTCATATCTATTCATTCCACGCTCATCTATTAAGTTAATATTGGCTATCCTCTAGGGATACTTTAGTTAATAAAATGTTCTGTTTATACTTACCCTTTCTGTTTGTTCTGTCTGTTTAAGAGTACAGGTAAAACTTTCTGTGAAACATATTTCGAAATAGTCTCTAAAAGTCTGGTATTGTGTTTTGTAAAGTTATTCTTACAGCTGTTTCTCTCCCCTCAAATGAGCACCCAGTTACTTGAAAAGATTTTACTACTAAAGATTAACCTCTCAATTTTTACAGTTTTAAGCCATTTCCCACAAATTTCTGGAACATTAAAAAATATTTTCAAAATGCACATCTCAAAATTTAAAGTATATGGTATTTCATATAGGATTCTTTGTTTTTTATAAGTAATTTTATTGCTGTTTTTTACAACATATTGACATAGTACTGTTTGCTAATAATTTATTTGAAAGGATGCCTTGTAATGTGGTAAAACGTGACATGGTGACATTTTAACAGATTTTCCTTGTGTTTTTACTTCGTTAAGAGGTTTTTTTGTGTCTGTAGTACAGTTGATTATAACACTGGAATAATCATAGGTTTGATTTCTGTGTGGGTTGCATGGTATAAGCCCCTCATTGGCCTTTAATTGAAGCTACTAATTATCTTTCAAATACTAAAGACAAGATGTTGGATTGGTGTCTTAAACCTTGAAAGCCTACTAAAAACAGATGCTGGAGTTATGATGGCCACTATCAAGTTTATATATATTTATAAAGTACCCTATCATTAATATGAATGTCTTAATAAACATTTAAATGTCACAATGGTGTTTCAAATTTTATGCCTGTTTTGTTTTGTTTTCTCATCAATGAAGTTGGATGTGTTAATGCCAGCTTAATGATAAAGTTTGTTCTCAGAGTTAATATTTATAACTAAGTACCTAAGTATAGGAGTAGTTAAGTCTAGAGCCTGAATAATTTAAATGGTTGAAGCTTAGAGAACATCCATGGACAAAATGACATTTAAGGGAAAAATCTCAAGATAGGGCATATCTTTAAATAAAACAACTGAATCATTTTTACAGCATAATATGTCTATATGCATTTTCAAAAATTATCCACTATTTCGTAATAGAGAAATCAGGAAATTTTAGCACA